AACAAGCCGATGCCAGCCATCGTCGCCTTCATCATCCAGGTGGGGAACACCTTGAAGACATATCTGCGGAGGTCGAAGAGGGACATCAAAATGAAGATCACACCTTCGATGGTTACCGCAAACATCACCTTCTTCACTGAGTTCTGTCCGCCCTTGAAGCCCACGATGGTGTAGGCAAAGTAAGCATTCATGCCCATGCCGGGCCACAAGCCGAAAGGCAGGTTCGCCCACAAAGCCATGATCAAGGTCCTTGGCTTGCCGCCTGCTCTGTGATATAATAACAATATCAATAATGATAATAATATAATACATAATAATAATAATATAATAATAATAATCATAATAATAATAATAAGACACTTAGCCCGACTGCAGATACATGCTCGGCCTGCTCCACCCCTCCAGACTAACCGCAGCCTGAACCCCAAAAGCCCAAGAGAACCTTGAACCTTCAAGCCGTAAACCCTAACCTCTAAGAACCCTAAGCCCAAAACCCCTATGAACCCTAAACCCTTATAAAACCCTAAGCCCCAAAGTCCCTAGAAACCCTAAGACCCTTCCAAGCCATCGAACCTAACTTAGGGGCCGAGTACCTTAGCCCAAAAAAGGTTAACCATTTGAGTTATAGTAGGTTTATATAAGCCCCAAAAGGTTAAAGGTTCCCAGGTTCCTCGCTCAGCCCCTAAGCTAAGATCACCGGCCGAGGATCGCAATGCAGCTGGAGCCAGCCGTGGCGAAGACAAGGCCCTCGAACCTGGGCTCGTGTTAAGCGGTTTAGGGTTAAGCGGTTTAGGGGTTTAGGGCTTTAGGGGTTTAGGGGTTTAGGGTTTAGGGATTGAAGTTTTAGGTTGCCATTAAAAAAGAGAGAAGCCATACTATTTATCATGGATCCCTATTACGGCAACTTAAACCCTAAACCCCTAAACCCCTAAGCCCCAAACCTAAACCCCTAAACCCTAAAAAAATGGTAACGTAAACAAAAAGTTCTTGGACACAAAAAACGCCCAGGAACTTCAGGCCCGTGGTGCTGAGGATGTTTGGGTTCACCTGTGTTTCTGGCTTAAGGCTTTGTTGGGGTTTAGGGGTTTAGGGGCTTAGGGTTTTCTGTGGCTTAGGGGGTCGAAAATTCGGGTTTTAGTGGCTTAAGGGTTTAGGGTTTAGGGGTGTAGGGGTGTTGAAATTAGGGTTTAGTGGTTTGGGGGTTTAGGGTTTAGGGGTTTAGGGGTGCATTTAGGGGTTTAGGGGTTTAGAGTTTAGGATTAAAGGCTTCAGGGTTTAACATGTGAAGTGTCTGCGGGGTTGTTCCGTCGATCCTCCTACTGTTACAATGAAGAGAATTGCTGGCTGGCATTTCGATTGGTGGCTTTTGCCTGTCGACTACAAAACCACGCCGCCCAGCTGTTCTCTTCCCATGATTGTTGCTGGTATGAGTATCTAGCTGAACGGCAGCGTTTCAACATCGCAGCTGTGACAAGAACAACAATATCAAGGCCGTCATCCGCAGAGCCACCATCATGGTCACAGGACAACTAGTAACTACTAGTACCTGAGGATTCAGGGGGTTTAGGGTTTATATAGGGCTCTTATACTTTGAAAACCCTAAAACCTACAAATCCGCACAACCCTAAACCCCAAACCCTAAACCCCTAAAACTTACAAATGCACGCAAAGGTGTCCCAACAGCTTCAAGCCCAGCTGCCGCCATGATGTAGGCAGCCGTCAAGAACGTGGTGATGCCAGCACGGATCTCTGTGGTGAGATTTGAGCCGCGTTGGGAGACCTACCGAGATGCACATCGTTCTTAGAAGGGACCCTAAACCCTAAACCCTAAACCCCTAAACCCAAAACCCCAAACCCTAAACCCTAAGGTGTACTACTGTGAGGATTACTGTATAGACTCTTTGTGAGGTTTGGGGATTACTCTTTAGTCTAAGAATTACGCAAAAAGGATCCTATAAGGGATCTGTGAGTGATTTTGGGATTCCTACAAAGAATTGCGATAAGGGATCTATGAAGGGATTAGGGTTTGGGGCTGGGGTTCAGGGTCCGTGCTTTCGGATCTCGGCTTAGTGGTAAAGTACTTTGGGGGGGATAAGGAGCTGCAAATAACGATTATTCAGACCTCTGCATTTGGCCGTTTGGGCTGTAGGAAACCTTCGAGGTTGTGGCGATCGGGTATTTCAGGCTGTGGCAGGGGCAAGTCCACGAGGCATTCACGCATGTTCGAAGCTTTCACCTCCAGACCCCGGACTCCAACAGTGTGGTTTAGGGTGTAATACCAGGGCCTGAAAAAAAAAACTAGGGTTTTGGGGTGCATTATACTATAGATAATTTTTGGAGCCCCTCAGGACAGGCTCTGTAGGTAGCTGTTGGAAGAATCCTGCTTATGTAGGCAGATTCCTATTCAGTAGCACGTCACCAAAAAATGCGGAGGCCTTCAGCCGTACAAAGGCATGAATGCGCAGCCTTTATACTTTATATAACACATAGCTAATATATGGCATCGAACATAACATATAATATGTAACATGAAATATAGAACATGGTATACAAGTATATAACAGATAGTATGTGATATGTGATATACATGTCAACATGTAATACGTAATACAATCTACAGACCATATAGAATATCGCATATTTCTATTTCAAATTATAGACAAATAAATGATATGTAATGTGTATTATATTTAAGACAAGATAGAAAATGAAAATGCATTCTTAAACTAAAATAGTGTATAATATGTACTATAGAAAATTAGAAAACATAATAAATAGTGTATACTACATAAAATACTAGCAAAAAGAATAAAATATATAATATACTAAATCTCATATTGAATATGTTAAGCATAATCTATAACATGTTGAGAAACGAATCATATGACATATATATACATATATATATGTATATCATTTATCTTATATACTAGATGCTATACATTACAAGTTATATGCTATGAGTTTCATATTTTATATAACCTACAAGACAGAAGATGTAATATAGGTTATACATTGCGTATTATGTGCAGTAGAGTGTTTAGATAATATAAGATAAGTTAAGACCGCATAATGTAATATAATGTATTGCAATTAAATACTGTATATTATTATTGTCACCATTATTATTCTCATCTTTATTGGTACCGTTATTTTTTACTTATATTGTAATTCTTATGACTACTACTGCTGCTGCTGCTGCTGCTGCTACTGCCACTACCACTACCACTACCACTACCACTACCACTACTACTACTACTACCACTACTACTACTATCATGGTTGCAAGAAGTATTACTATTTGTATTCATATTCTTGCTTTGCTGTTATTATGATGATTATTATTATTACCATTGTTGTTATTACTGTTCTATAATACAGCATATGCCATGTTTATTACATGATCTCTAATCTCTAATACATAAGATATAACACCCAATATCGAATATTATGTATATGTATATGTATGTATATGTATATATATAAATATATATATATATATATAGATATATATATATATAGATATATATTATTGTCTACTACTGGTGCCAAATGAACCGAATCTGGAGAACAAGCTCCCAGTTCAAGAGCCTCGGAACGCTTAGAGACTCAAGATTTCCGGGTTTAGGGTTTAAGCTGAAAGGGTGGTTTCCGAAACTAGGGGACCCTAATGTAATACCCTATATAGTTGGGCCCTTATTATAAGGACCTCAAAATAAGGTACCCCCTAATTTTCGGAAAGTCCGGTATGAATTTGCACAGACTCGCAGCCCCTAATCTGAGCCCTCAGCCCCAAAACCCGCCTTGAAGTAGTTGTCCACCTTACTGCCCCGGAACATCGAATCCATCTTGTTGTCCACCAATTGCTTCTTTCCTCCGTGGGCAGTGATGCAAAAGACAGGGCCTGGGGTGCACGGACAACCACTGAATTGGGAAAACGCGCAGACCCCCAGCATCAATCACATCCCAAGAGCTTCTCAGCCTTTCAGCTAGTTCCGCTCCGGCTCTCATCAGCAAATGTTATACATGCTTAGATCCAAAACCCACGGAGTTGCTGCGTTGCAATCCTGCTCTCCTTCGAGAAATTCGGTGGGCTTAGGCTTGAGTCTTCCGAGAAGAAATAGTAGCAGTAGTAGTAGTCGTCGTCGTCGTAGTGGTAGTCGTAGTCGTCGTCGTCGTCGTGACTGGGCTCAGGTCTTTGGGACAACTTCGTGTGCGGAAGAAATCCTAGCACCTGCCAATTCACAAACTTGGAAGCACTGAACGCTTCGGTCCAGAGGCCATCTTGCAAAGCAAGGTGGGACCTGCTTGAGAAATCCCTGGTTCTACATCTCCAATCTAGCCGGAGGAAGCACCTTGAGAAAACTAGCAAGGACTGCGGTCATCCTAGCTAGCTTCCCACATGTATGTGCTGATGAAGTCTCCCTTGGCACCGATGTTGAACTCTGCTTCCGCCACTTCCGCCATGCTCGGATCGATTTCGGGAGGATCGGGTCCAAGCTGTCACGAAGTTTCGTCCTATCGTCTTCTCCTTGCTCTGGCCATGAGCCGAAATGGCCGTTTGAAAAACTAAGAAACGGGGGACTCGTCGCTACAGGTCGAACTATGCGACCACCCTATGGTTCCATATGACAACAGTATGCTATGCAGCATAACCATCTGCTAGTTGTAAAAGGTTTCGGTATTAGTGAAGGTTGCCTCTTCTGCATGTTTTTCAGCCTTACGCAGGATCCCAAGATACAAGTCTGAGTGGCTGCTCTGGATGCAGCGTGCTTGTTGGAACAAGCACCCTTTGGGGCGTTAGGGGTAGGATTACACAACAGCTGTATCTGCAGACTGTCTGTGCGATACAGCATCACTTGGTCCTTAAGCCGTAAATTTAGGCTAGGCCGGGCTGGGGCTGTGGTTGTGAACAAAGACAGCTCTGTCTTTCTTGAGAGTTTTGGGTATGGGGCTTTGGCATCCTAGACCAATCTCCACTAGAGTAGCCATGACCCGATGAACGGAGAGATCATCGCTGGTTTGTCGTTGTTGAGCGCATTCAAAGAAGTTTAAAGAGGCGGTTCTTGAGTACTGAGAAGCGGATACTGCATGCCAAGATGGTGATACAAAGAAGGCGAATCGACTCGAGGATAGGGCTGAGGATAACCTGCCAGGAGGAGCAATAACACTGAGCATCGTTAGGGTTTAGGGTTTAGGGCTTAGGGTTTAGGGTTTAGGGCTTAGGGCTTAGGGTTTAGGGTTCCACCCGACTCCGCCGTTTTTTTTCAACTGTCGGCGTTCTTGTCCGGGGTGTGGATCGGCTCTAAGCCCGTACCTTGGCAAAAGAGGGTGCAAGGAATGACACTCCCGAGCTTCTTGGGCTAGGGAGCCTGGGGCTTCTTGTTAAGGGATTTCATGGAGTTAATTTAAGCTACCGTAGTAAGGGAGCCATAATAATTATTCAGTATGGATTATAGATCCCGATTATAATAACTTAGACGAAATATCTCCATAAGAGCCCGGGAGGAGCTGATGGTTTATCCAATGATCTCACTTCCCCTTAGCTAGGGAACCTTCCTTAAATCAGGAGGTCCCCAAGAGCGTTTAATATAGGAGCCGAATAGGGTTTGGGGTATATTATACTATAATTATGATAAGGAGCCCCCAAAACCCTCTTCTAATTATTCAGGCCCCTACGTTACTTGATGGTGGGTTCGATTGCGTTCGGCACTGTTTGCCTGGCGCAGGAGCTTGGAATCTCTGGGTGCTGTGAGTGCCCAAAATTAATGAAGAGCTAAACCCCCCAAACCCTAAACCCAAAACCCCTAAACCCCTAAACCACTAAACCCCTAAACCCTGAACACTAAACACTAAACCGTAAACCCCTAAACCCCTAAACCCTAAGCCTCATAAACCCTTGGGCCTAGACCCGACAGCGAGCTGTGCAATCCTTGAACGAGCACTGCACCCCAAGCCCCCAAAACAGGTTCAGAAAGCAGGGGACCATAACATAGAGTCCAAATGGCAGGATCCGGATCCTCCTCAACAAGAGAAGCTTAAACCCAATATCACGCAGAAGAACCTGAACGCGGAATGTATCACCAGAGAACCGAATTCCTCGACGGTGGGGGTTTTGGCTTGAGGGTTTGGTGCTTTGGGGCTTTTAATATGGTAAGGGTGCAACTCTCTTATGGTAAACAAGGGTCCTGTTCAGTGCCTCGGTCCGCTACGAAGAGAAGGAGCTCGGTAACGAGAGCCTAAACCCTATAAACCCTAAAAGCCCTATACGCCCCATCAACCCAAAAAAAAACCTAAACCCTAAAACCCTTAACCCGTAAACACCTCCATCATGAAAGCAAAAGTTGATGCAGGCCTTAGGCTTAGGGTTTAAGGCTGCACATCTAGAGCCCAAATGGGGGTTTCCGGAAATTGGGGACCCTAATGTAGTACCCTAAATAGTAGGATCCTTATTATAAGGACCCCAAAATAAGGTACCCTAATTTTCGGAAAGTCCCAAATGGCAAAGCATTCCAGGCCCTGTTGCCATGCGCACAGCGTGGGGAAGAACCGGTAGAAGAACCGAAAGGCACTGGCGCACCTAGGTCGTTCGCGGGGTTGTCTACATCTCGCAAACCCTACACCCCCAGCCCAGCAAACTCCGAAATCCACTTGTGCCTATGCAAGCCGTAATCCTGTAAAGCTGCCGACATCAGAATCGCACAGCGCCCCTGACTGATATGCCTACACAGATACCCCGAAACCCAGAGTTGCGTTGTAGCCCTCACGCCGCTCGTCAAGCACCCGCAGGCGTCTTGACGCAGGGCAACATCGAGTCGCGCAGGATTTAGAGTTTAGGGCTGCGGCAGCTTCCTCGACGGCTCTACTCCTCATTGCCTCTGCCCCTGTTCGGCCCCTACTGAACCCTAAACCCTAAGCCCTAAGCCCCAAAACCTAACCAGAAGCCGGCAAGATCGGAAAACCTAAACCCCAAACACCCCAACCCCCACCCTACAACCTAATGTCCTGAAATCTAAACTCCTCATAGTATCCATATTATAGTGCCCTTCTTGTCGTACCCATACTATAATGGCCTTATTATAGTACCCCTTGTTAGGGTACCCTTTATTAGCCCGTACTATGATTCCCTTATTATGGCGCCCTTATCAAAGAACCCTCACTACAGTACTCCTATGATGGTAATGCAGGATACTATTCCGTACGGATTCGTTATAGAAATGATACGACAATAACGGACCACAAAACCCTATTCTAATCATGAAGACCCCTAAACCCTAAACCCGTTATAGAACCCTTTAAGGAACCCTTTAAAGGAGCCCCAAAACCCTATTCAAATTCTTAAGGCCCTTTAAAGTAACCCAAAGACCCTATGGAGTTGCTATTAGCTTCCTAGGATCGGATGGAGCCTTTAGGGTGCGGGGTTTAGGCGTTAAACATGAAAGGCTTAGGGCTTGCTCAGGGCTTTCATTTTCGTGGGGATTGGAATTCACTAAACCCTAAACCCTAAAACCCTAAAACCCTAGACCCTAAACCCTAAAACCCTAGACCCTAAACCCTAAACCCTAACACCCTAAACCCTAAACCCTAACCCCTAAACCCGAAACCCCAACCCCAAGATTGTTTCCGATCCCTAAGGTAGAGGGGTTCCTTCAGGAACCCCAATAAATCTCCCATTTCTCCCGAGCCTCAGTGCTCCCTAAGATTTTTTTTAAGGATCCTTAAGGTACCCTAGTGCCAGGGGTTTTGGGAATTAGGGTTTAGGGGTTTAGGGTTTAGGGGTTTGGGGTTTAGGGTTTAGGGGTTTGGGGGTTTACTTTGGGTTTGGGGTTCCCCCTAAGGTTTTTTAAGGTTCCCTCGTAGCCTCCTACCTCAGAAACC